CTGCTGGCGCGTATTCCAACTCCTGTTCTTTCCCACTCGCCATTCCGACACAATTCTCCACAATAACTGATTTTTTTCTGCTACACCCGGCTACGCTGCTTCGCTTCTTCTTCTTGTTTACTACTGGTGGTTGGCTTTGGTCGCAGTACCGCCACCTTCTGCTCTGGAGTTTGACTTTATTTATTTTAACATTATGTGCATTTCGATTTTTATTTAATTATTTTGAAGCCTAATAAACACGGAAGTTAGGTTGTAATGGCAATGTCATGCAAGCTAGTGGTCACCAAAGAGGTAACCCACACACGGAAGCAGACTAGTAAATTTACATAGTCTAATGATAGAAACAAGGAGGAAATATGGCACAGAAACGCTTTCTCAATTCAAAAAGTCATGAATAGCGTTGACTCTGAGGTTTTATACAGTAGCCCATCAAAGCCTTGTTTGTGTTTAGAAAACATGCAAATTGAAAACGGACGAATGGGTCCAAACGGGGGGACTTGTTAGTTTGAAACAAAGTCCAGTGGATTGTTTTTTAACTTTTTTGGAATGACCAAGACCTGGATGACTGAGAATCTTCACCAGCATACAGAACTGTTCAATAACATTTAACATAGTATAATAATATAGTTATTTCCTTGTGGTTTGCATAAAAGGATTTTGGAGCTTTAGAGTCACATCTGACTCTAACACAGTGACTCAGGTTCATGCCAGTTGACCAAATCTACGTTGTTATAGTGTTATTGTGAAGTTTAATTAACAGCGCATATATTCAATTATGAACTGATGATCTCTGTGTGTTACAGACCCTGGTTGTGTGCACTGAAGTGTATATGACAATAAATTAGTGAATTTCAATTTAATTATTTAATTTTTTTTTTCTTTCGTTCTTCATTATTTAATTGAATTGTACTTTTAAAAGGCCTATAGGCTCACAGGTCTTCTGTCCAAAAAAAAAAAAAAAAACTACAGTAAATACATTTTCACAGCACCCCTTTTCAAAATTACTTCCAGCGGCCCTGGATAGCTTTTCGCTATTACAAAAGGTACCTATTTAATGGATTTTAAAATTCACATGTTCAAGCAGCTCTAGAATGCTCCCAAAAATGAAAGACAATGAAGTCTAGGTAGCATAGATCTGAAACACTGGTAGAACTCCTTAAATCATGAAAAAAATAGAGGTGGGATAAATGAAATATTGGCTAAGCAGGAAATCAACCATTTGGTCAAGGTTATATAAAATATTTCAGACTCTAAAAATTATTGGGATTTTAACGTATTAAAATCTTGAGTTTTCGTTTATGTTTGGTGGTGCCAGGTCTCAAAGTTGTCGACAAGATTTCGATATGCTGTAATTTTTACAGAGAAAAGTACTCTATTTGGGCATGTAACACATTAATACGTTAAACATGCAAATGAGGAGTACTTTATGTGTGAAGTATAGCTTCTTGTTGGAATATTTATTGTGTTTGTGCACTTTGGCAGACTCTTGACGCCATATACTCCAAATCTTCTGCAAAGGGAACACTCTTTAGCAAACTGTCATATATATTTGGTGACATCACTTTACAGTAGCCCCACCCTCTAAGACATAACCACAACTTCTGTTAACAATGTCACTTTTTAGGCCATATTTGTAAAACTTATGTGAGAGTTGAACTCAGCCTAACAAAAGGTCAGATAATGCTCTACTCATAGTACAACCTCGTGCTGAAATTTGGAACTTGACAACTGGCTCTGCAGAGGCATTGTGCTGGCAATGTGCAGCCTCTTGGCCAGCTAATGGCTGTGCAGCGCTGTCCTGCAAGGAAAGCACAATGGAATTTGCCACTTTAATTTGTCTCCATATTACTTTCAATTTTAACTTCAAATAATCTTTTATGAAAAACTGTAGATTTTAATATACTTCCGCTTTAGAAGAGCTTCTCAATTGGTTTTAAAATTAGCCATTGCATTTTCAAAGCGCTTGTAATGCTCTCATTCTGTCCTGTAAATCTCCAATTACCTTCAATAAAGAATTACCTTTGATGAGGTAATTCAGTTGTGATAGACTAGAATATGAATTTAAATTAAAATATTTTTTCAAATTAAAGGTTTCAGACTTTTGAAAATAACAGCCTATAAGCAGGAATTAAGCATAAAATATAATAAATGAGCTTTTCAGTATTATTGGGATTTACTAAATATGAATGTACAGTGCCTTTATAAAGTATTCATGCCGCCCTTCAACGTTTTTCCACATTTCAGGCTTCAAACATAAGGATATAATATTTAAATTTATTTTTTTTTATACCCTTGCAGATTCAACAACAACTTTTTCCTCACTGCCATCAGACAACTGAACTGTTGAAAAAAAAAATCTAAATCAACTCACAGACTCTGCATCACACTGATAACAACAAACCAAAAAGAACCAAACTTAAAAAAAGATGCTCTGAACTTCCATATCAAAGGGTTTTGCACCATGATGTTTTGTCTCATACTGTTTACATTTGATCACTGTTGCAATATATGGAATGGAAATGTTCATTTCACTGCTAAGCTGCTGCTCATTTGCTGTCTGAAAGCTGTACAAAGCGAAATGTTGTTTTGTATTCAGTCTATATATACAAAATGACAATATAAGTTATCTGACTCTAAGTCGGATTTATTGGACGATTTAAACTGTTTTGACAGAATAAAAACTGAAAACTATGAGTTCAAAAGGATTTAGGCCCTTGACTTAATAGCGCCACCTTATGCTGTGATTACAGCTGCAAGTCACTTGGGGTGTATCTATTTTAGTTTTGCACATCAAGAGACTGACATTTCATCATATTCTTCCTTGCAAAAAAACATTACACTGTAGATGTTTCCATATGTTTGGGATCATTGTCTTATTGGAAGATAAATCTCAGTCGTAATCTCAGGTCTTTTGCAGACTCCAGCAGGTTTACTTGCCAAATTATCCTGTATTTGGCTCCACCCATCTTCCCAATAGTTTTAACCATCTTCCCTGCTGAAGAAAAGAAGGGCCAAAACATTACACTGCCACCACCATGTTTGACAGTGGGGATGGTGTGTTCAGGTTGATGAGCTGTGTTGCATTCATGCAAAACATAACCTTCTGTAAAGTTTGATTTTGGCTTCATCTTCTTCCATATGTTAGATGTGTCTCCAAGGTGGCTTGTGGCAAACTTTAAAGGAGACTTTCTATGGATATTTTTAAGAAATGGCTTTCTTCCATAAAGGACAGGTTTTTGAATTATACAACTAATTGCGTTCCTATGTGCAGAGTTTCCAGGCTCAGCATTAGATTAGATTTCTGCAGTTCATCCAGAGTGATCATTGCAATTACAGTCCTCTTTAGGATGTTAAAACTTGGGAAACATTCATGTATCCAAAGCTCTAAACTTCTCTACAGTAGTCTCAGACTTATCTGGTGTGTTCTTGAGTCCTTTTAGCACAATGCCAAAATTGCGGTAAATGTTTTTTTTAGTTCATAAAAGTGAATCTAGTCAAATAAAAGTATGAACTGTCATTTTAGGGCTACTTCTGCCTATGACATAGCCTTTGGTCATTGACATTTGCGCTTAATAATAATCAACTGTGCAGGGAGCAGTTCATAAAGCTAACAGTGTGAAAAGCACATAGGTTATAAAAGTAACCGCTACTTTTATAAACATGTTACACACACATTGTGACAGATGTGCAATAGGTTTTTGGAAAGGTATGACGCTTGAGTTTCCATGGACACCAGCCTGGGTATAAAGTGTTGTAAAACCTAAAGTACTTGTGAAAACTTTATTGGTAAAGTCTGCCTCTTGGAAGGATTTTGAT